TATATGCACTTTAAAGAACAAACGTTATTCACGTATGGGATTAAAATAGATACCCGTTGCGACATTACCTATGGAAATGAAATTATTCGTAAGGTATGGCATAAAAATTAAATCGAAGTTTAAGATGTAGCATTGAATTCCAATGAATTTAATAGTGCATCTTTTAATTAAAATGAACGTCGAATTATTTTGTGAATCATTTCTATGCGATACACCGCATTAAAATACATTGCATTTTAAATGTGCTTATACATACAATGGAAATTCGGTCTGCATAAAATGTAACGCATAAGAATAAGACACAAATTTAATGTATCAAATGGAAATGGTATGAATGAAAACTACTCTGCATGCAAATGCGCAGTTACCTTAGAGAAGGAAAGTAGCCGTAGGTCGTAGGTACGTTTTATTTGCGGTTGCGCAAAAACAAAACAGCTGTTATTGATTGTTACTTACATCGAACGTATAAATGGATTATTTATACGTTCATCAATTTTGAGAAGGCAAGCGATTTATTGGGTTATTTACGTCGGTCACACGTGACCTTTACAGTTTTTACGTACATATTCGGTAAGTCCAATTTTACGATTCCTTTTATGATAACAGTAAACAATGAATGTAGGATTTGCACCTGCTGCGCAATATTGTTTAATATAAAGCAAGAAAAAGGCCGATGGAAATCGAAAGATGTGCAAGAGGCGCCGGGTCCCCTTAACAATAAATTGGAGGTGTACGCTGTCGCTATAAAAATAGGTAATCTCAAATTTCACTTATTCTTACCTGTAATGCAAATTGAGTGAACAGTTACAGGTTCGTGGGAATTAATAATGGATAAAGAGTCCAGAGATAAACCGTGTTAATGGAACGAAGCTCATGTTCTACGACTCTTGTAAGGAACAAGCACATCGACAAGTTGATGCTCCTTCGTAATGGAAATTATGTCGAGTTCAATCGTGATATATCTACTAACACGATTAGTTAAATATGTAATCTCCATTGAATGAGAGATTTGTATATTTACAAGATGCTAATACATGTACCTGTGTAGAAACACGAGCACGTGAGACATTGTTAGACACGTATCTCGTTCTGTTTGATGGGTGCACCGTAGTATGTAAACGAAGACGTGTCATTCGCTAACAAAGTTACACAAATATTGTCAACAAAATTTGTATCCTGATAATTAAACGATTATCCTATTCGTCATCTGGAAGCGTTTATTTCAAAAGTGAACCACACATCGAGAAATGTAACTTCCCTACATACCAAAAGGCAGATTGAAAGAGAAGTCCTCGCAGGGATGATAGAAGCGTAGTTCCTCTTAAAAACCCCTGTTAAAGTTTTTCTAGAAGTGCTCCAGAATTTGAGAAATTAATTTTTTTGACCTAGCACATTTCTAAATAGAACACCTAACTTTGACATCGCATTAAAGAAGTTACAGAGAGGTTAGAAGAAAATCCCCTATAGGGGCGATAGAAGGGATGTTCCTCTTTAACACCCTGCTCGCGGTTTTTCTGGAAGTGCCCTAAAATTCGAGAACTTAATGATTAAGGGTATTTTGGTCATTCTTTTAAATGTGAACGTTGTGATTTTGGTCATCTGTTTTGCTCATGCGGGAGCTGTGGTTATGAAGCCGATTTTGTGTAATTGTTGCAGTTATTCACATTAAAGCCGGATCCGGCTTTATAGTTCCGTAGCCGTAAGAACGGAACCGTAAAATCTGACGTTAACGAAAATTATGCGATTTATAGTTACCGTAGTGGTAAGAGATGAGCTTGCGTATTTATCTGCCATTGTATGTCATCTGTCAGTAAGAGTAACGTGCATTTCAAAATAATAATAACCAACAAAGTGTCAATAATTACTGTAAATAAACGAAACGAACGTCCGGATAAACTCAACTGTTTGAATTATCCGAGTACTATCGAAGACAGGCGCGTTAGCGCGATTTACCGTAAGGAATAGATTTGGGCATTTCCTACGTACCGTAACCGTTCTAACGCAACGTAAACGGGAACTATAAATGTTCACGCGCAACAAGTAATTCCAAACGTTACGGTACGGTGCGGTGTTGCGGGTACGGAACTATAAATTCAGCTTAAATCACATGACAGCCGACAGGTTTGGTAATTTATTTTCGGCGAAGTCTTCAGATTAAATAGTATATTAAACCACGATTACTAATTTATTCATTTCATAATTTTTCGTTTTGGTTATAAGTTTTTGTGGTCCTGTGTATTGTACCTGTTAACGGTAATTTCTATGTGTCAGCCACTTCCAACCAAATTCAAGTCCACGGCTTAGTAGCCACTGTTATGGAGGTGGTTAGAAGGCCTATTGGTGTAATATATTTATGAGGCATTTACAAAAATTGGAGCTGTAGATCCCGGTATATATACCGTAGCGTTCGAAAATGTGATAGGTAATTATTTTACAGTGTTCTTTTATTACCATATGTACCGATCACATTAACGAAATGGATCACTAATTGGAGTGTATTCATCTGGTTGGTCCACGCGCGCCACTAAAAAAAGGTGCAAGAGTTGTAACCTCACTTTGCAATCTTTTTGGCTTTCCTTCAATAATTATCAAGAGGACTTCCGTTGTGTACATTTTTTGTTATATTCGAAACCTTAGATCTTACGAAACACTTTCATGGTAGTAAGTATATGCTAATGTAGCCTTGTAGGTATATGCTGTTTATCTCAGAGTAAGAAATAAAGATAGCGATGCCTTGATGCTTATCAAAACGCGCCATAATCTCGTCGTGTTTGTAAATATTGCAGGAAGCGAACTTGTCACATTTCGCGAAACCATTTTTTAATTAATATTAATAATAGATATATAGAAAGGATCTAAATGGATTTTTAAATATTTATAAAGGTGGTGAAAAACAAACTATTATAAGTTGAAATTAAACGGCCTAATAAGAAAATTTAAGATAATTAGTGTGTCACGACGGCAACGCTGTAGCGATTTGACAGATGAAACTATATCTGTTTATTTCTAAAAATCGTAATTTTCGGCATTTTTAGTTCATTTTATAGATTGAAACTTATTCCATTGTGTTTAATAATTTATCAGCACCCTTTGACATGGGGAAGGGTGTTCTGTTTGTGGAACTATCTTTGTTTCCTACTCTATATGTTTATAAATTTATGCGCTACATTTACACATGACAAAAGCATTGTTCTATAAACAGGCATGCACCAAAGTTACCGCATCTCATCAGTCATCATCAAATGTTTACCGACATTTTCCATCGTGGATCTACCGCTCCAGTTTTCGTAAATGCCCAATAGGTATTATGCTGTCGGTGCCCATATTACAGTGACTCTATAAAGACAGTGTGGCCATATGCTCATTTCCGCCATTTTTCCCAAATTTATTATTGAGCTTATGGGAGAATCGCACATTTTGAGTGTAGGAATGTTGCGATTTACGCAAATCCTTCTTTTGAGAATTTTTTTTCGGGAGGTTTTTAGGGGTATTAGCAGATCAAATTACCGAATGGCTTGGGTTGTTCAATAAATAGGATTTGACATGTGTGTTCATGGTCTTTGTCTTGTAACCGGCTGAAGTGTAAAGTACGGCTTGTCTTGAAATATTTTGTTATACCTTAACTGTGTCCTTTTGCTTTTTTGTATCAGGTGAGGTATTTGCTTTATTCAATTAATCTATAAATGTGCATAACTTGAATGTAGATTGTAACTCTTTACTTATGTACTTACTGGATTCAATCACTTGTACCTCTTAATGTGTAACATTTGTTGGTATTGGCAGTCATGTTTCATTGTCGGTAGGGCTGTATCTGTGCTGTACATACTTGCATGTGTACATATTTGCGTATTGTGCTTTTTAGTCACTCTCGATTATTTCATTGCATTTCATTATATTTGCTTATTTGGGACTGGAGTAATCAAGAGGGAAGTGTGCTTGTTTAGAGGGGATCGAGTTATTCAAGTTTATACGGGCCTTGGTGAACCTAACACTAACATTTTCACTCGTTCCGAACCCAACAACTTTAGCCCATGTCTACAGGGCCTGGGTAATCCTCCCGGCCGTCGAGGTATATTTAACACTTCTTAGTTTTGCCTGATGATGTGTTGTAATACCTGGAGAATGTCTCGATTCCATTTTGGTTACTCATAGCGTGTTTGTATAGTATTTACCCCGGTTTCGAGGGGGCTCAAAAGTGCTGTACATTAGATGTTTATTATAGGACTACTCCGAATTAGGTTTTCCTGCAGTTTTCCAATTCGTAAGGTAAATGCCGGAGTAGTATAGAACCACCTAATACCCTCTGCAGGGGCGCCGCTAAAAACCATTATGCGGGTCACTCTGTAATCGTATTGGTATTAGATTCAATATAAACTTAATCAGCTATTTATTTTTACTTTTGGTGTTCCTTATCCATAAAACACCCTCAGTGCCTGCTGAGAACCCAGTTATTACACAACGTAGGTGTCCTACATGACGATCACGATCTTAGTGCACTCGGAGTGGCCCCCGAGTGACAGATTCTCGCGGGAAACTTAAGCGAGAATATTCAAATAGGCAGCCATGTTAGTTTGGCATTCCCTCACTACAGAATATGGTCAAATATTCCGGTGTGTTTTGAAGTTGGCGTTAGCCCGCCAAGATCGGGTTCATAACCACAGCTCCCGCATGCGCAATAAAAATTACAGAAAGCACAAAGTTCACATTTAAAAGAATTTTTGTATACGTTCATTGTAAACGCACACGTACATACAGATAGATATAAGGTTTTAAGTAGGTAATAGATCCACTGTCAATAACCACCTCCATAACAGTAACTACTACGCCGTGCACGTGCACTTACATGCAATGCAAATAGCAGTTGTCTACCGTTATAGGTACAATATACAGGATCACAATAACATAACCAAAAAGAGAGATTCTTATGGAATGAAAAAAGCAGTGATCGTGGTTTCCTATATTATAGTCTGGGACTTCACCGAAAATTATAAACAAACATTTTCAAGTGAATGACATCAATCATCACGCAAAATCGGCTTCATAACCACAACTCACGCATGCACAGCAAAAATTACCTAAATCACAACGTTCACATTTAAAAGAATGAACAAACACACTCATAAGTTCTCGAATGATAGGGCACTTCCAGAAAAACTGCGAGCAGGGTGTTAAAGGAGGAACATCCCTTCTATCACCCCTACAGGGGGTTTTCTTCCAACCTCTCTGTAACTTCTTTAATGCGATGTCAAAATTAGGTGTTATATTTAGAAGTACGTGCAAGGTCAAATTTAAAAATTAATTTCTCAAATTCTGGGGCACTTCTAGAAAAACTGTAACATGGGTTTTAAAGGGGAACATCCCTTCTATCACCCCTATAGGGGGTTTTCTTCCAACCTCTCTGTAACTTCTTTAATGCGATGTCAAAGTTAGGTGTTCTATTTAGAAGTATGTGCGTGGTCAACTTTAAAAATTTATTTCTCAAATTCTGGAGCATTTCTAGAAAAACTTTAACAGGGGTTTTTAACCCTGCAGTGGTGACGTGAAATTTTGGAACACCAGTGGTGACCTCGGTCTGAGAGACCGAATTTGATTTTGGCTTGATTTCGTATAGTTACTACGCATGTAACTTGGCTTAAAATAAAGGAAAAAGTACAGTCAATAAATAAAGGCATATAAATCGAAAAATAAATTTTATTCTTGTAACATAACCAGTAGCGGTCCCAGGATTTGGTAAAGGGAGGGGCTCAAACCCGAACTTTGCCCCAACATGGAAAAAAATGAAAGAAATCTAATGAAAAAAATGAATGAGGGGGCCCGTGGCCCCCCCCTGGGACCGCCACTGACAGTAGCGGTCCCAGGATTTGGTAAAGGGAGGGGCCCAAACCCGAACTTTGTCCCAACACGGAAAAGAATAAATCTGATGAAAAAAATGAACAATAGGGGGGGGAGCCGGGCCCCCTGGGACCGCCACTGAACATAACTAAATTGAATTATACACAATACTAAGCTTATGGGGGGATGCGCGTTGCAATGCTGCGCTGACTAGAATTTTCGTAGCATCAATGCACCGGAAAGCGGCCAATTACTCACGGCACTAAATTGTCAAAGAACGGCTTGCTTCATCAAGTTGTTCGTCTGGTCTCAGACACGCAAAATATTAAGCTAGCAGAACTAGCAGTGCCATGCGCTGCATCGTTTTTATAAAAATTTGAAAAATACTTTTCGTCGGTCTGAGAGACCGTGCGTCACCACTGAAGGGTTAAGAGGAACTACGCTTCTATCATCCCTGCGAGGACTTCTCTTTCAATCTGCCTTTTGGTATGTAGGGAAGTTACATTTCTCGGTGTGTGGTTCACTTTTGAAATAAACGCTTCCAGATGACGAATAGGATAATCATTTAATTATCAGGATACAAATTTTTTTTGACAATCTTTGTGTAACTTTGTTAGCGACGTCATCGTTTACATACTACGGTGCACCCATCAAACAGAACGAGATACGTGTCTAACAATGTCTCACATGCTCGTGTTTCTACACAGGTACATGTATTAGCATCTTGTAAATATACAAATCTCTCATTCAATGGAGATTACATATTTAACTTATCGTGTTAGTAGATATATCACGATTGAACTCGACACAATTTCCATTACGAAGGAGCATCAACTTGTCGATGTGCTTGTTCCTTACAAGAGTCGTAGAACATGAGCTTCGTTCCATTAACTAACGGTTTATCTCTGGACTCTTTATCCATTATTAATTCCCACGAACCTGTAACTGTTCACTCAATTTGCATTACAGGTAAGAATAAGTGAAATTTGAGATTACCTATTTTTATAGCGACAGCGTACACCTCCAATTTATTGTTAAGGGGACCCGGCGCCTCTTGCACATCTTTCGATTTCCATCGGCCTTTTTCTTGCTTTATATTAAACAATATTGCGCAGCAGGTGCAAATCCTACATTCATTGTTTACTGTTATCATAAAAGGAATCGTAAAATTGGACTTACCGAATATGTACGTAAAAACTGTAAAGGTCACGTGTGACCGACAGAAAATAACCCAATAAATCCCTTGCCTTCTCAAAATTGATGAACGTATTAATTAATCCATTTATACGTTCGATGTAAGTAACAATCAATAACAGCTGTTTTGTTTTTGCGCAACCGCAAATAAAACGTACCTAAGACCTACGGCTACTTTCCTTCTCTAACGTAACTGCGCATTTGCATGCAGAGTAATTTTCATTCATACCATTTCCATTTGATACATTAAATTTGTGTCTCATTCTTATGCGATACATTTTATGCAGACCGAATTTCCATTGTATCATGTATGTATAAGCACATTTAAAATGCAATGTATTTTAATGCGGTGTATCGCATAGAAATGATTCACAAAATAATTCGACGTTCATTTGAATTAAAAGATGCACTATTAAATACATTGGAATTCAATGCTACATCTTAAACTTCGATTTAATTTTTATGCCATACCTTACGAATAATTTTATTTCCATTGGTAATGTCGCAACGGGTATCTATTTTAATCCCATACGTGAATAACGTTTGTTCTTTAAAGTGCATATATACGAATTTCAATGCATGCGATTTAATTTGATATACGCATGAGAATGGTTTACATTTTTTTTTGGATGCAAACATACTCGACTCAATTTTATTTAATATCAATTCAATTACACACAGCAGCAAATGTATTTCACTTCTGGTATAGCTGGACAGTTCCAAATAAATGCGTTATGTGTTTAAATCTTTTATACAAATTGCTATTTATTTTGATGCATGACAATTAAATTGGCAATGTTTAATATTCATCTCTGTCATCTTGTAGTGTTTTAGGATTCAAACGCTAAAATCCATATTAACATTTCCTACATTTGCATACATTTGGCTAACATTTTTTTGACATGTTTAATTTGTTGGTAACAATTCAATTGTTATTTAAATATTTTGGTATACGTTATAAATGTATAATAAATAGTAAAACGCATCTTGTACACACCAGCATTTAAATAGGTTTGTGATGTAGATGATCGCAAAGAAAAAGCATTCAAAATAAACCTATCGCATTTTAAATGCAATTTATAGTATTTACAGGCATTAAAAACTGAAGTGGTGCTACGGGATTCGTCATATAAACGTCGTTATTTTGTGACATGTTACAAAGGAAACTATTTAAATTACTATCGTACTCCAAGAAAATGTGGATTTTAATTTAACAAAACCATTTTATTACAATGGCATATAAACGTAACCAATTAAAATGCTATACTTAAAATGCAGTTAATAAATAGTAAATTGGCGTTCCATAGAAAATTTACATAGATATCCAGGACCTTGAGAAGATGCAGTAAAAGAAATTTTCAGTAGAGTTGCTAATAATACCGAAAAATTTTGCGTATAGATCAGTGGCGTAGCCAGGAACTTGGTTTGGGAGGGGCTGATGTGCGTACGTTGTCGAAGGCGGTGATAAAAAATCAGCTACCTACGTACGATTCAGTTCCATTTCGCAAAAATTGATTTAATTGTACACAAATATGACATGTCCGATTGGGGCTATAGCCCCACCCGGACATGTCATATTTGTGGCTACGCCCCTGGTATAGAACAAAGTATGTGAACAATGTCAGAAGTTACAGTAGAAGAGATTATGACAAAAATCGGGTCCCAAACAAGCGGCGCAGCTTCTGGTCACTTTTCTTTTGATTTTCACATCGTACATATTTTAGACTCGATTTTAGAGCATTGCTGACAATTTATCTGATTAATCAAGGGCGATTTGAGAAACTATATTAAAATGTCAGAAGTCAATAAAGAAGAATTCATAATATTAATTAATCTATTGTAACGTTTGCAACATTCTGCGCGCCTTTTATTATGTTTAAACAAAGCATATACGTTTAAATATGTATAAGTGAAATCTAATGTGTTACTTTTTGAATTTTCGAAAAAAAGTACGAAATAGTCGAATAGGCAATGTTTTATGAAGCTGTATTCTCTTTGAAATGACTGAGCTCACTGTGTACTATCCAAGGTGCTATCATTGAATAATAAATCTTTATTATTCAATGGTACTATTTGAAAAGAGAAACCAGTAGAGGGGGAAGCACATTTCCGTAGGAGATCGAAACTGATCGAAACCCGTTGATGGTCTGTGATCCTAACGGTAGTTTGCCTACACCGTTGCAGATTAGTTTTTAGCTCGGTTTTTAGATATAATTTGTTAAATGTGCTCTAAGCTGACATTTTAATTACTAAAAGTTTCTAAATACATCGTAGAATGTTTTTAATCCTCGGATTTTTGTAAAGATAATCTTTTCATGTTTGTGTACATTTGTTGTTTTTAAATTTTCTCAATTTTTCAAAATATCTCGAAAAATTTTGAAATTTTAATTTTTTTAATTTTTCTGACTATCTAATGTTGATAAACTTATGTTTTATTTGAATTTTACACTTTCATTTTTCGGAATTTTCTCGATTTTCGCAATTTTCAATTTTTAAAATATTTGTTAATTTTTACAATTTGATATATGCATTTGTTATATATAATCCGATCTTTCCATTATTTTTTAATTAACCTAAGTCCGGTATTAGACCATAAAAGATATTTGACAAAGATCTTTTATAAAAAAAACTGAAAGAATTGATCTGAATTCCGTCCAGAGACATTCGAAGAAATTTGCGCCTGTTAGAGGAGAATGGGCCACTTACAAAATTCGATAGTATAGTACCTATTGAGTTGTAACTTATACAACCAGTTCTTCATTTAAAAAATTCTCAGATTTCGCAATCCTTGCAACCATCGGAGACATTGGAAGTGATAACGTATAAAGCCATAAATAACCCTTATTCACACGGAATAATCTTGCTCCACTCGCTCGCAAGCTCGCTCGTGTCACAAACGTAAACTTTCTGAATAATAAGCGGCGTAACATGCTTATAATACTATCACGGGCGATATACGAGAATTTTAAATTCGAATTAACAAAACCCATGCGCATTGTTAAATAAGTAGGTACCAGTATCCGCGACTTTTCCTGAATCTACCGATTGCAGTCGAGTACGGTACAATCAACATGAGACGCGACACCACTTGTCTTCTTTTCTACTGGGCAAACCTGGTAAATTCATACCCATACAAAACATAAGCATTTCCAATGCTAAAAATCCGTTGCAAATGTGAAATGTCGTACTCAGTGTAAAAATTACGTCTGAATTTATGTTACTTTTATCCCATTATGTTTTGCCGTCCAATCCGTAGTATCAATGAACATACACTTCAATGTAGTGTTAAAAATCGAATCGATACAAAAATACCAATGGCATTCGTGTAAAACTTGTTTGCACTAAAAACGGGACGGTGGGTCACCAATCCTACTATAGCGCGGACGCAGTTATGTGGCTGCATTCGTGTCATAGCTCAAAAACATTTTACTGTTTTTCCGAATTTTTTGTATGTGATGTACGTCAACAGTAGTGAAAACCCCGAGGAAAACCCACTAAAATTAGATCCAAACGTTGCCAAAATTCAGCAAGTGAAAAGTGTAATCGTAAACGATTTACGTAAGCGCATTTCAATCACGTATTATTTCGTATTTACTTGCATATTTTATTGACAATTCAAGTAAATTTTATTGCCAAAATTTAACTTTTAGACATCAAGCTGATGGAACTGTTTTGTTTAGCGTTTTTTGTTGCGTGTCGCTTTCAAAGAAAATTTGATGTTGTAAATATGTAAATCGCCATCGTACTAGCCTTAAACGTATCATATGTCTATGATCGTGCAACAAGAAAGTGTATAGATATTGATAAAAATATGGATCTTAATAATGTATTATATACAGAGTGTAGCATCTAGACCCCTCGGTTCATAATTCCTTTACCATAAAAGATACCGAAAATTAGAGCAAATAAATTCGTGTAAATAAACAATTTGTTCAATGTGAGACGGGCAAAATACATAAAATGTGGGGGTTATAGAATTTTAGTTGTTGTTGACTGAACACCGTTTGATAACTGAGCGATGCTTCGAACCGTTATCCACCTCCACTATAAATGTGTAAGTATTGATTGATTGATTCACCACTTTCAACTTATCCACACAACAATACGTCATGACGAATAGTAACGAACGAGGTAACGAATAGAATGATACGAACAGAAAAATCGAATAGAACAAGATGAACAACACCATTCGGTATAGTGTGGCCGCGCCTTTAGAGTTTGATACCTATATGACCTATGCAGCAGTTGATTAAGGCATCTTACCATAACAGACCGACAAAGCACTAGCGCATTGGTTTTTTTCTAATTTTTTTGAAATGCGCTGAAAAGAAAAAGTTCCCGTAAATTTGGGTTGGTGAGTTTCAGATACCTATAGGCGAGGATTGTTGCTATCATTTGATTCATATACTAATGGTAATGACCACGAAAAAGATTTTGGAAAGTTCCAACCGAGGTTCCAACTAACAGATAAAAGCGACGATAAAAGACAGGACTATATTCACCGAGTTATTTCTAATTTGCAAAATTATTTGAAAAATAAGAATTGGGACCTTGAAAGATGAATGAATGTCTCCTATTCCTGCTCGAAATTTTAATATTTGGTATTACAATGCACAATGTAAAATCCGGTAATAATTAGCATTCGGAATTTATGGAATTATTTTGTTACTTCTCACATCCTTCAAATATTGTGTGTAATTGCCGTAATCACTTAGCGGTGACGCGGTGTAATTAACATAACCTCTTTGTGAATTTAATAAATAAACGAATATATTAGATATATACAACAGTAAAATACTTTATTCATTCGGAGGGTAATTAGAAATGAAAAAAATTGATGAGATAATCGTGTTTAACTATCCATGTAGTCAAGGTTTGATGGTAATTCTAATTGTAGTTCAATAATAATTAGATGCCAATCTAGAACGATGGGCGATAACCGAGGCGATAACAATATGAATTATTGGGATAACAATATGAATTATTGGCGGGACCAGTACCATCATTTCATTATAAAGTACCTACAGGCACTGTTCGCAAAAGGGCAAAGACTATTGTCCTCGAGCAGGGAAACAAACTCTATTGTGCTTTATTCTTAATGTATTTCAAATGATTTGCATCCAGCAATATGGTCTGCATTATTTTAATTGTAAATAACTCGTAAATTTTGGTAAGATATATCCGCATTCGTGGATGGTTTTTGGAATTGAATTTATTTATGAGGTAATATTATATTCGTGGTGTACTGTGTTTATCCACCAAAACGTTTCACCGTAAGGGAGAC